ACCCGACGGTTTCTGGTGACCAAGGCATCTTTCGAGCCTTTCGCATTGCCCGTGCGCTGAAGGGCGAGAAGGTGGTCGTGGGCCTCTTCCGAATTACACAAGGGTTCCTGGTCCACAACGAGAGTGAGTTACGGTTGTTAGATTGGGTTTGCATGCCAAGTTCGTGCCGTAGTCAACTCAAGCTGGGAAGCTAGTGCCAACTGAAGTGCAATGGAGACTCGTGTCGTGCTCAGGGCCCACTCAGTGCTTGCTTCAGTCTACCACTTTGCACACCGAAACGACAGCACGCATATGGCATAGGCTCTAGAAACACGTCGGGGGATGGGAGCACAGGCTGGGTTGGCAGCAATGTAGCATTGCCTGCTGTTTTGCAAGAACACGAGAGGCATTGTGAAAGCATTAAGACTTGAGAGCTTTCGGAGTCAAGCGCACCAGGCTGCCGTCCTTGTTGGAATCCATGAAAATCCACGCCTGAGTCCTGGTTGACGGACATGAGGTTTATCGACGCCTTGCCTTCAGTTTTTTGGATGTCAGCAGCTGCCTCTGTCTTTGCCTACATGCTGGCGGTGGCGCTCACATCGCTGGTTGGAGGAGACACTGATGCTCGGCTGGGACAGGCACTTTGCTCTTTGAACAGTCCGGGTTCACGGGCCTGCTGGGCAAGAGTTCCCCTTATCCATGAAGCCGTACTGAAGCTCTGCGGGAGGGCGGGCGTCGCGGCAGCGGCACTGAGGCAGCCAGGGAGCTCTGGCTGGATGTGGACCTGTATTGTGGCACGGTGTCTCGGTCTCTCGGCTAAGAGGTCCATCATGTTTCTGACTTTTCAACTCCCTCCCGACAGTTTGGTACCCGGTGCACTCTCCCGCCAGGTCTTTGTACACTATTTTGCAGGCCCGGCACGATGTTTCTTTTGCATGCGACACATGATTTCTGAACTTGCCGCTTTGGTCCTGGGTTGTTTGAGGTCATGACTCTGGACAGTGTGCATCAGAATATCTTGAGACCAATCCTGAGCTACGCACCTCTCGGCCTTATCGTCTCCAAGCTGAAGCCAGCATTACAGCAGTTGTAAGCAACACATGGGACTGCGAGAAGCGTTTGCTGATGCTTAGGTCGTCTATCTGACAATGTTATGCCTGAGCTTTGGCACCTTGAACATTCTCCTGGCGATCATGGCGTCCAGCTTAGGATGTTTCGACTTCGGCTTACAGGAGCATTAGGACAGCCCCAAAACTGTCAGGTGGAGAGGTGCAGGGCCCAGTTGCGGTGTAAAAGCCCCGGCGTAGAAGCATCCGAAGAGATGCTTTCAGAATGTTGCAGCAAGTCTTGTGCAAGCTTTGTTTGGTGAGCTTCGATGGCCGGTGTGGTTTCTGAGTAGCTACTGCAGGATGACAATCATCTCTCAGGATACCCAGGACCGACGTGGACTGAAGCGATCCTAACAAACAGCAGCAAGTTCTGCATGGTTTCCGGCAGGAGAACAAGATTGCCTTGGTGGCCAAGACGGAGAAGCTTCTCATGATGTCCATGCTGAAAGAGTTCGATGCTGCTCCTACGCACGACGAGAGAGGTGCAGGGACATCTTCACACTCCCTCTACGTCCTCGGGCCCAAGGATTGCGACACCGATTTCAACGGCGAGCTGGACATGAAAGAGTTCCGGAAGGTGCTGAGGATGGCCAGGGCTCTTGGGGTCTTTTGGCTGTCCTTCATGGAGGAACAGAGTCTCGAGAGGACCGGGCCAATGACGGAGAAGCTCAAGTTCTTGGATGTTGGGGCGGTTGAAGCCGAGAATCTGCTCCTCGAAGAATTGGCTTTGCCTGAGCTGAGGCCCCTGTCTTGCCTTGCTGTACAACACGAGTTTGCTCAGGTTCGAGATGATGGATGTGGACAAGCAGCTGTGCTTGCATTTCACTTGCTCTAAATGCGTGCATCCGGTCTCAGCATCGGTCATCTTGGGTTGACAGCGTGCTGAGTTTCAGGAGCGGGGCATTGAGCCCGATCGAGTTCTTGAGTGGCCTCTTCAAGGCCTGCGAGCTGACTCTGCTTGCTGCTTGAGCATATTTGCATCAGCTTCGGAAGGTCAAGGGACAAGCGAAAGGACCCCGGCGATTCGGATCTACAGGGAACTTGAAGCGGCTTGCCTCACGCAGGAGCCGATCTTTGCCGGCTCATTACTATCTTGGACAAGAACAAGAAGCTCTCGAAGTTATGGGTCGAAAGGATGAGGCCCGTGATAACTCGAGCCGTATGGTATCTGGCATCCATCACTGTGCATCTTGCGACAGCAGTGTGAGGCGGAGAACTGTTCTAGCTTTGCAGCGCCCCAACCGCCTATTCGTTTTGCAGGCGCATGAACCACCAAGCAGATTTGATCCAGGCAAGGCTCAATCAGGTCGTGGCCTCAGTTTCACAGTCTGCCAGCTTTCATGGGCATGGCAAGCTCATGGCGAGGTGGGTCGAATTCTGGCTGGTGAGCTGAAAGGCTTAACGGAGGCACGGAGCCGAATATGACAATCCAGTTTCCGGGGCAAAGAAGTGCAGAAACAGCCAAGGCTTCTGCACGTGCTGATTTCACACGGAGCAGTGCTGCGAAGCGCAAGCTCGTGATCCAGGCCCGTGCTTTGTGATACTCACGATGCGCGCTGGCCGTGTAACGGACTGTGAAGGCTTAGTTCGCCCCTGACAGGAGAATGAGCTCAGAGACCAGGTTACTTGCCGTGCAGAGCAGGTCGAGCAACAGACGACCTTCAAAGGGAACGCATTCCGAATTCAGAATTCTGAGCACAATCTGAGGCAGTATTTCCTGGCATGATTGAGACAGAAGAGAGTGACGATGGTTCGGAACAATGGCAGTTCCGATCTCAGCTGCTGTAGAAGTTACTTGGTCCCAGACTTATCTGCTCTCTGAGGTTCCAGCTGTAGCCAAGGCTGCAGAGTCCCACAACGTGTTTCACTTCTTCCTCAAGGGAAGATGATGAACCGTAAACGACGATGTTTGCCGAATGTCTGATATGAAAGCAAGCTGGCCTATCATAGTCACCCATGTGGATGGCATCTTAGAAGGTAGCGCGAGCCTAGAGACAGTAGAGTGCAAGTGACGCAGATCAAGTCCTCGTGCCTACAGATGTCGCTGTAAACATGCGCTTCAGCGCAGACCATTCGATCTGCTCCTAGTTTGTCTACATCATTCGGGCTGACCCCCGCGAAGTGTGGGGCGGCTTGACTTGGAGCAGGGTTGATGTTGATAGTCAGTGGAGACATCGAGTTCGCATTGTGTGGCGGTGTAAGATAGCCGTGTCGGACGGGTTGTGGGTCTTCGGCTGCATGCTGCCGCGGTATGGCTCGGTGTGGAGTCAGAATTCACTTCTTGTGGACAGTCCATGCTGACTTGCATGCTAGCGCTTCCGCGAAACAGAATGACGCGGCCGAGATGGCGAAGTTGGCAAGTGGGCGCATTTCGGAACGCCGGCACCCTTCATAGATTCGTAGGGATATAGGGATATAGGGATGGTCATGCGGCACACCTGGTCAATTTCAGGGGGATGAACGCAAACTGCCTGTGAAGATGTTGGCATGATATCTGACTTATGGCCTACATACCATGGGGTCTTTACATCCATCACCTGAGCCAGATTCATGTCTTGACTGCGCAGGCTGTCTGATGACTTTCAGGCTCAAGGACAAAGACCATCCATGTGCAAAGCATCATATCACTTACCGCTGCATGCAGACGCACCCACAGCTTGGTCCACATGGGCCCAACAGACCCCACACAGCCCACTGGACTCTCACGTGCTCACGCTGTTCGCCCTGGACGGTCCTTGAACAGATGTCCAGCTTCGTCGAAAGCTTCTTTTCAAGGTGCATAGCTTTGACATGATGTGTGAAGGTGCTTTGAGGGTCAAGAACCAATGAAGCTTGCACTGACTGCTAGGTACCTAGAGGTCAGGTGCAGGGTCTCCAGATGTGGCATGCCAGATATGCTCTCACGAGATTGTCACACATGAACAAACGAACCAACAAATTAAGTAACGAACGAGCGAACAAAACAACGAACGAACACACGAACAACCGAACAAACGAACAAACAAGCAAACGAACACACGAACAAACGAACAAACGAACAAACGACCTAACGGCTAGCTAGCTAGCTAGCTAGCTAGTGAACCAACTAACTAACTCATACCTATTCACCGACCTAGCTACCCACCTACCTACCTAACTACCTGCCTGCCTGCCTGCCTACCTACCTACCCACCCACCCACCCCACCCCACCCCACCCGACCCTACCCTACCTAACCCTAATCCTAGCCCTAACCCTAAACCCCAACCCTAACCCTAACCCTAACCCTAACCCTAACCCTAACCCTAGCCCTAGCCCTGACCTACCCTACCTACCTACCTACCTACCTACCTACCTATCTACCTAGCTACCTACCTACCTACCTACCTACCTGCCTGAGTCGCAAACTAGCTAGCTAGCTAAACTGACTATTCACCTAGCTAGAGAACTCGAAATCTAAGCAGTTGATCAAGCCAACAAGCAATCAAGCAATCAAGCACGGACGGACGGACGGACTGACCGTCTCCGGGGTGACAAGTAAGTAAGTACGTAATTAAGTGAGTAGGTAAGCAAGTAGGTAAGTTACCAGCCTGTGGTTTCTGGCCTCGAGGCCACAAGCCTCGAGAAACATGGAAGAGGGGATTTTGGGGCAGATCTTGACTAGTGCCCGAAGTCGTCATTTCCAGGACAGGTTACGCTAGCATTAAAGAGATCGCAGATCGCAGTGATCATCGTCATTTTGTGCACCCAAAAGGATTTATTTGGAGCAGGCAAGACTCGATGTGCAATTGCGCAGGTCTCGGGGGTCGAGGGATCTGACATCGCAAGGAGGCCGATTGCCGATGCAAAGAAGAAGCTTGCAGATTGTCCTGGGCTCAACACTGTTTCAGGCGCTTCGTCCTCATCCTCGGCCCCCCAAAAGCCGGATGAGGAGATGGCCAGAACCTCAGATGTGCGATCGCAGAACCATTTAGATTTGACTGGCAGTTGAGGCATCTGCTGCACAACAGGCAGCAATGGAGGTGCCGTTGCCCACGACGTCGCCTTAGCTTCAAGCATAACAGGTGTGCGGTTGAGGCTCGTGCTATTGAGTCAAGCGCAGTTGGTCTTGAGGCCCTTGACGGACTGGGCCGCCTGAAGCTTAGTGTGTTGTACCGTTCTTCGCACGTCGCATCAGTGTCTGTAGCTGCGCAGAGGCATGTGAAGTGTCGTGCTTCCCCACATGGCTCGTGTGTGATAATGTCAGGATGAGTCCGATGACTATGATGAGCAGTTGCAAGAGGACGTTTTCCTGGGCAAGGTAGTGCACTCCTTAGCTGCTTCTGGCAGATAGCTAACCTTGGTGACGTGGCTGTGCATGCACAGACTGACTCCTAGGATCTTACTTCTCAGCTGGAGGCTATCTTCCAAGTGATCTTGCAATGGAGAAATGCCGACATGCTCCTCTGTCAGATCAAGAACACCTTCTACAACCTACCTGTCATGTCCTCCATGACCTCCGAAGACGACACCGACAGCCGCCGCCTCGGACCGCCGCCAGTGAAACGGCGCCCCCCCCCACTACGCCTTGGCTCAGATCCCTGGCAGTCTGCGCCCACTGTGATGTGTGTCACTGCATGGCGCACCAAGCCACGGCCCCGGATCATCACATTTCATGACATTTCTGCGGCAGACCAGTCATTAACCCATCACAAGGTGGCCCAACATGGAAGCTGCACACAATCGGGGCGAGTGCAAGTGGGGCGCATGGTTTCTATCTTGTGAGAGGGTGATTCATCCGCAGTCGCAGCACGGTCAAGCCATCGAACTGTGGCAATCTGAGGCCCTGCGCATACTTTTTGTACAAGCCAGATGGATGCCGCAACAGCACGGATACTCAGGTTCAGACTGCCGTCCCTGTAGCCAAAATCTATGTTCCTCTGACGCCATTTCAGCGGACTGTCCAAGGTGACGACTGCCCATACTGCCATCTCTGCCGCAAAGGCGAGATCAAGAGGAGAAAGCGGAAGAAGATCAAGGAGCTCAAGGCAAAGTGATCAGTCACGGAAAGCACTTCGTACACTTCTCGGTGCACCAGACGCCATAGGTGCAAGACACAACTGAGTCAGGCAAGTTGAGCTGTTGCTCATGGCAGGTGTGCGATTACATCCAACAGAACAGGCACACAGCCTGCAACAAAAAAAGGCTTGCAGGAGCACATCGGTTAACCCCCGAGCCCCACGCGTCGCAGTCAAGCAGCAGCTGATAAAACTCGAAGCACTTCTAATTTCTAAAGTCCTTCGAAGACCGCAGACTTCTAAATCCTTGGCAGAGCCATGTCTAGCGTTCAATGGCTAAAACTGCTGGGTGCTGTGACATGGCTAGTTGTGGCCTATCCGCCCCTGGGATCAGATATAGCGCAGCCGAGTGAATTCATGTTGCATGCACGACTCGTAGATTGCAGTTCTGTCACCCAGCTAAGGTTGTATGACTTCGCCAATCAGCTGCTGTACGATCATTTTGCATCAGAGGATGACGGGATCAAATTCTTGGACCGCAATACTCTCTGGCTGGACGTAGTCTTGAAGCTCTTCTTCTTCGCTTCTGTCTGGCAGGCAAGTGGCTCCAGAACAACATGCCACGCCGACTCTCATGACTCATGGTGGCTAGCATGCTGCTCCACACACCGACAGTCGTAGTGAGGCCGCCATGGATGCGCTCATTCTTGTACAAGAAGGCAGCAATCGTGTGGCGAGGGAAGCTCTCATGCTTGGTCCAGACAGATACGAACCTTGTCAAATCAAACAGGCTGCGCTGTTGAAGCGTTTGCGCACATGCTGTAGTTCGTTTTGCCAACCAAGGAGGAGCTTTACTTCTACTTCACGACTTTGGGCAAGGATGTTTTCTTCCCTGGACTCGTGCAGGGCGGTGGCATGTCAAATATATCCCTCAGGGGACCACTGCCGTGAGAAGTCAAATGATGTCCATCTGTCCGAGAACTGGAAGGCTGCAAGGTCAAGAATTCAGTTTGTTTGTGTCAGTCCATCGCGAAGCCTGCATTCTGGCAAGCGAGCTTTACATGCTCAACCCGTGGAGCTCGACTATCGGCCCGGGACAAGTGAGGTGTAACAGTAAGTTTCGTGCCAATGAGAAACTTTCATGCTCTCTTGAGCCTTTGATTTACTTTCTCTCTCCCCTGTCCTCTCGCTTCTTTCTTGCTTCGCATGGGCCCGTGTTGACCGCGCTTAGGCGCGATGGACACGTCCCAGCTCGAGGCTCTCGTTTCCAAAGATTTGACGATGCGTGGCCTCTCCATGCTGGCATTGCTGATTCGGATGTTCATCACCACAGGAGGCCAGTATCATGTGCGCAGGGAGAAGGTCGCAACTTGCAGACTGCACATGTCTTCGCATGTCGGCAAGGAATGTATCTAAACTTGAAGTCATTGCCGCCGCGCCATCCGCAAGAGCCTCTTGGCCGGAGCTGTAAGCTCTGCTTTGTGGAGGTGTGTTGCATGTGGGTCCCGGACTGTAAGAGATGCGGGTTCGCGTTTTGCAATCGAAGGCCACTCAATCAGATGAGATATTATATGGCCTACTTCGAGCTGATTGCGCTGGGATGGTTTTGGAGTGTTCTCGTCTACAGGTGCATGCTTTCATCGCGTTGCTGTCGCAAAGCGACCCGGTCTTTGGCAGAGACTGTGATTTATCAGGTTGATGATGTGGACACAGACTCCCAACCTTTCATACATGGGCCTGATTCTTGCCAATGCTGCCGAAGACATTGCGAGCTGGTCGTCCATGCAGTGCCACTGCAGCGGTTATTGAACACGTGGAGCCGGGTAAGACTTGGCTCCCAGGACCGGCGGTACCCTGTAGCTTTTCGGCGTTCTCATGCGTTTTAATCTCAGGCTCCTCCGCAATATCTCGTTGTCCCGACTCTCCCAGCGCGTTACGCGGGTGACGGAGGAATGCAGCTCCGGTGTGAAGTATTTGCCAAGTTTTGGCGTGCAACTGCACCGGCTTGTCCAGTGGCCTGACGCAGTCGCACCAAGGCAAGCTGTTCTTTAACCCGAAGATGCAGTACGTGATGGCCCCGTTCGAGGCTCTCGGATACATAGCTGCAGGCAGGGGAGGGTCAAACAACCACTGTTGGAAGGCCTGAGCAGCAGCAGTGAACTTCGCAGTGGCAAAGGGTTATGGCAGACAGCTCGTGCTGTGTCGCAGCTGTTGCGGTGTCGTAGCCAGTTCTAGGATTCTAGATGTATGCCGAGCATCAGAAGGATGGCTTCAACAGCAAAGGGGACATGCCTGTCAGGCCTCTTTGGCATCGTTGTGCTCGCCATCAAAACGACCCAAATCGAGTTCGTCTCGAAGACTCTTGCTAATGACTACTCATTGCAACAGTGGCGCCTTGGCATTATCTCATTCTGTGGTGGCTCCGGCGTCCGTGCGCAGCGATACATGCGGTTCAGCTCAGTGCGAAAGTGACGGCATGCAGACGTAGGCAACGGTGGAAAGTTTCGGAGGGCACAGGACTCTCGCTTCTTGTTCGGACGTCGGTCCTGTCAGATACTTTTTGATTAAGCCAAAGACACATTCTCGCAGAGAGCTGTCATGAAGACGGAGTGTCTTACAAGGCGCGACAACACTCGCATAATCCCGTGTTCACACAAATGAGTGCTCCAGTGTAGCCGGCAGAGGCATCCGATTTGCCGGTTGTGTGAGTGAGCAAGTTGTCTTCGAGACTTACATGTACGTCGTTTCGTGCTATTCTGGTAGCCTCTGTTTTCACACTGCCTAAGGTTCAGACTGATTAGCTTCGCCATGTCGATGGCCACGTCCTTGGCTAGCCTGCGGCGTTCGCAGGCATAGACTGCGGCAGTTGAATGCTTCCCCTCGAGGTGTCGATATTCAATCTGGACGAAGAGAGTCGGTTTGCGGTGCAAAGATTTCTGCTGCATCCGTTCGTCACTTGGCATAGGTGAGGCGTGCAAGGTATGCAATATCGCTGCCGTCGCGTTCTGTGTCGGCCCATTGCGCAAGGAAAATATCTGCACAGGAAGTCAGATGCCTTCTCCGGTGTTCCTGGCTTGGGAGCAGAAGCTGGCTGCTGAGATCTCAGCCAAGAAGGGCTTCTGGGCAGGCTTCGTCTTCATGGCAACTTATCATGAATGAGAAGGTTTCACCACTAAGTGTGCAAGAAAACATCGAGAGACTGATTGCGATGCCTGGATGGCGCAAGGCCACCTTGAAGGCTGACGACTACCAGAAGCTGCTTCTTCCCCGAATGGATGAGGAAGCACCGCCGAAGCTTCTGCATGACGCTGAGATGCAAGCAGTAGAGGGGTCGGTACCGGGAAGCTGCCACAGGCCACAGCGTAGCTGTGGAGAGCATGTCAGGACCTGCTGACTGCCAACTTGCTGAGCAAAGAGCGTGGACGGCAAGCAGTTGATTTGGGCATGAGGGAGGCGGACGTGGAAGAGCTACAGACGCTTGGCAAGGAAGCAGGGCACGCCTCCATTTCTCGACCGAGCCGGCAAGCCCCAAACAGAATTGATATCAGGAAGTGGGCGGCTAGCGAAACGTCGCCTGCAAAGTACTTCGCCTCACGCCCGCCGGACCACATTCCACTCATGCCACTCAGCATCTAGTGGGCTACAAGAGCCCGGTGCCAGAATGGACGCCAGCTGTAGAGGTGCTGTCCACATGCAATGTCTTGTCTGGACTTACTCTTTACGCCTTAGGCGACCTCTGCATTTCCAGGTTTCAATCTCCGATGCCGCAGCAAAACAGGGAGCGTGCAAAGCTGGAGCGCAGAGCTGGAGTTGGCTGGTCTCTTGCTGGCAGGCTGCTGCTGCATCCTCTGGTGGCGATTCAAAGGCCCTGGCACTGAAAAACACCAGGACGTGGGATGTGGGACTTGGGGCTCTGCGGGCGCTGCAGGCATGCGAGGAGGACAGCGATGGCTGAGCTTCGAAGCCTTCGAAGCCGCTGACGTCGTTTAGCCTAACAGCGCTGTATGTGTGCAGTTGGGTGTCGGTCGCTTGCGATTCTTTCCGGACACATTTAGCCAGTTTCTGATCCATGCCAAGAGCATGCGAATCCTCTTTCTTAGCCCAGTGCCGTATGCAGCAGCGGGCACCGTTCATCAATTAACTCTCTTCGCCGAACTCGTGTGGCTGCACTTCAATGCTTGTCATTGTATTGTTCAGCCGGCACTTTATAGCTGTTTGTAAGCTTATTCTGTTTACTCCTCCTTTTTCCGCCCTTGCGGTTGCGAACTTGTCCACGAGTCAATAAAGACCTCAGCAGGCTGAGATCCAAACGACTGGCTCGCCGTTACTGGAGTCATTAAAAAAAGGGCGCTTCTTCCAATAATATATACTATATAATATATACCGAAATATATATATATATATATATGTATATATATTTATACTATATAATATATTAATACATCCTCATCTTGTAGCTTCGAGAGACAGAACCAGAGTCATAGAACCACAGAGGAGCACCGGAGAGCAGAGCAGTCTGTGCCGTAGGTTCTGCCCTATGGCTCGAAGGGCCCCCAAGCCAAGGCCAAGAGTGCCAAGAGCCCAGCACAGTAAGACCCCACATGTAAGCTTCTATGGGGTTTAGGGTTTAGGGTTTAGGGTATAGACTGACTAAACACAGCTGCTACGGAGATGCACAGAGGATGCGGACATCTGCAGTCGCCATCACCGAGCACATGCGCACGCAGCATGCACTTGCGTTTAAGCTTACTGGGCGGTTTCCAGTAGGTAATAAGTTCGTCCTTCCATTGTCCAACCGGCTGCAACCATGCTTGCAGTACTGGCCTCTGAGCTCTTTTCAAGATACCGGAGCATTTACTCGCGGCTACTAGCCAGTACCATAAGGGTACTGTCAAAATGCTATCAAGACTACCGCCATGTCAAGCTGCTCAGATCTGCTCAGGTGCGTCATCCGACGCTCTTTGAGTTGGACAAGGCCGGGTTTGGGGCGAAAGGACCGGGCCAAGGTCCATGCAACCTGAGCCGGTGCAGGTCATAGAGTCTTGCAACAGCACAAAGCGACGCCAGCCCGTCGGGACCCTAGGATCTGTACATCGGAGAAGGCCATGTAGCCTGCGTAGCAGCTTGGGTAACGAGGTTGAGTATACACTAGCACATGAGTGTCTGACGAGATTTCTTCTGCAATCCGAGGTCTGCACCATGTCCAAGTGTGCCCCTTGTTGCTCTGCACAGTCTCAGATCTTGCGCCTGGCAGGGCTCTAGCACGTGCATCCTAGGTCCGAGCGCTTTCCGCGCATTGGAAGGCTGAAGATACAGGGTCATGAGACCCTTCAGAGAGATCAGGCTGCATGACGAGGTTGTGTCTGACATGGGCAGGTCGACAGTGAACCTGCCGCCGGGCCATTACCGAATGGACCGAGCCTGATCCTGTCTTTTCGTCTCTCCAAGAACGAACGAACTGCTTCAGACGTGTCGCAACGCTGCTTCTGTGGTAGGAAGTTGGTATGGTGCTGACCAAGGACACCGAGGCAGAGAGCAGAAAAGTAGATATATGACATGTAACATCCTCTGGGATAGGTTTCAGCTGTTTGTCCGTTCCAGAAATGCACGAATCGTGAGGCCCAATCCTAAACCCTAAACCCTAAACCCTAAACCCTAAACCCTAAGGTTCTTGAGCATAGAGCCGCCAGCTTCATGCCGCCTTCGCCTCTTCATCTCGGCGCTCTCCGTATTAAAACCCTGCAGAGCAGCAGCTGGGCGAAGGATCGGGTCGGAACCGATCCCAGCGGCGATCGATCATACAGGGGTGCGAGTTGGATCGTATCTTTCAGGGTCATCTTAGGTTTCTCTTTTCGCAACCACTCACCTCTTCGGGATTTTGGATTTGTGGGAACCAGGCACTCTGTTTCGGTTGATGGTTTAGGGTTGGGGTTTTGACTAGGAGCCGCTTCTTTTCTTTGGATGTTCGGATTCTGCAGCATTCACAGCGTTTGGGGTATTGGGCTGCCATGTTCTCGGATTATAGCGCGTGAACCGCAACCGCTCACTCCTTTTGGGTCTTTGGGTATTGGGGGAACCGGTCACTCCTTTTGCAATTGCTCTGTTTTTCTGGTCCTCCCTGTGTTCGAATTTGCTCTCCGAGTTGTCCGGAACACCAGCTGATCCGAGCAGTGGCATTGCGGATCCCTTTCGATCCCGGCTGATCTTTACATCTGATTGTCGGATCCTGCTCGTGCCCTGCCCTGCTCGTTATGCGGGCCCTGCCCATTGAGTAAACATCCACCGCGGGTGCCAGCATGAATGTTGGGCCTCACCTGATCACGCGTGAGTCAGCCGCTGACGTTTTTCGGTCAACCGCCGGGGTCGGAGCCGTGCGATTGATGTAGACAAGACAAGCGGCAGCATCGAAAAAGGTAGACGAAGTGAGCGCAGTGCACACTTTCCCTTCGTTTCACTTAATTAACTTGGGTTGCTTTTCGCTCACTTGTGGTTGATTTTTGATTCCACGCTTTCATAACATTGACTTGTGTTTCACGACATCACAATCACCCACTAGGTTCCCTCATTTTACCGTTACATCAATTATCTCCTAAAGGTAGAAGATCCAATTTAATTAAGTAAGGACACATAAGGGTTGGCTCCCGTGACAAAATTCGATATGCGGTTACAAAAGACCGCAAACTAACACAAATAAAAGCGAAGACGTGCACTAGTTTACCCTTTTATTTTGTTAGATCAGTTTGGGTCTTTTGCCACCGAACCCGGTTAACGCATGGTCTGGCTAAATCTCATCTTTTCATGAGTATTCCCGCCGGAGCTGGAACTAGATGCAAGAGTCTTCTGTCTTAATCTCCAAGTCTTAATACCCTTTGCTTTTTGCTTGTTTCTTGCGTTCGCTTTGTTTCTTGCGTTCACTAAAACCTAAGTGATCAGAAGCACAAATAGAATTAGGGCTCTTGCCTACAGCATAAAGAGGGTCCCGTTTTATTGTTTCAATTAAACATAAGCAAATATATTGAACACATGGTTCAATTAAACAAGAAAAACAAAGGACTGAACGAAGCAACAGGACACATCAAAAATAATAAACGTGTCCTTTCAGTACTTGTTAATTGTTTAATTTGGTCAGTTGTTTCATTTCTATTCGTTCACTTCGTTCCTCATAAATTTATTCCACAGTAGTGAAATGATGGCACTGAATGACCGGATGCATGAATGAAATGAAAGGAACGAATTGAAACGAACCCGCTAGATGATTTTCAGTTCAGCGGGGAGAACAACACACCAGGCTTTTACTTGATTTAAACAGCGCAGTGAATGCATGGTTTAATTCAGCATAACTAAGCGTGCTAGTTGTCTATCTTCACTTATCATATCCTCGTAGCGGTGTGGTTTGTTGCAGCTGAGTAAATAAGTTAAATAAAAAACTAAGATGATGCATGCAGTATTAATTTAAAAACGCACGAAACCGAACAACGCCAAGGGCACGCTTGAAAGGATACAATGAACAACGCACTTATTGTCTTTGTGCATTTCTCTTTTCCCTTTTGGTCCCTTGGCCATAGAATTCAAGTTTCATGCCATGATAGGGGATGATAGCTAATGCTAATGGTGACTCTGGACTGGAATCTAGAAGAAACTCATTAGAATAACTCCTGGATGTGCTGCGTGGTTTCTTTTCGCTCTTTGTTCGGTTAAACACGCACCACGGTTGGATAGAACATCACCGAGCATTGCGGACAGAGACATCAGAAGATGTGCTTGGTAGCGAGAGTGTAGACAGCCTGCTGTGCAATTTCATCATGTAGTTCGCTCGTCATCTTGCCACTCACCAGGATCCTTCGTGCCATGTGCTCACGCCACGGCATGCACTCTCTCTGTTGCTGAAGTGATGCATTTCAGAAGCCTGCACGGCGTGCTTGTGTGCGCTTCTCTTATCTGTGTGCTCACTTGGAAGGTATTGGCCTCACGCCTGACTCGAGTGCGCGGCTCATGTAATGATCAAGGCAGACATCGCTCATTGCCTCCGGATACGCATGCGTCAGAACTCAGGCCAAGTCCGCGCCGCGTTTCTCCTTTTGCAAGGAGAGGCGTGTTGACAACGTACCGGCCTCACCTTCCCGCACTCGCCTCGCTTGCAGAAGTGGTCCTGTGCTGTGTGTCAGGAGGATTGCCTCAAGGGCCTGTCTCCGAAGTACCTTAAGGACATCAGTGCCTGCAGCTTATGACCATGCCTGACCGATCTTCGCCCGGCCTGGTCATGGATTTTGAGCTGTCTAAGGAATTGGGACCTGGTCAGTATCGCCTGCCTGGCACTTAGGGAGCAGCCAGTCAGAAATCAAGAGATCACATGTCGGATCGCAGTGGCGATTCTCCAGAGCTTACAGGGACAATAATGCTGAGGATGAAGATCGGAATCGGCAGCAACTCAGTCGTGAAAGCAGGTCGCTTAGAATCGCCAGTCCAGTAAGCAGCGTCGTTGCAAATGTTTTTCCCGACCACTTGTCGTGGCCAACAGCTGGTTCTTCAGCTGGGAGTTTTAAGCGTCACACTGAGGCCACAGCACCCTCATATTCCATATGAGGGTTGGCATGGCCTGGCACCTTGCATGACTTTGCTTGCAGCTTGCTCGCGAACTCTGATTCTTGACAAGGTGGCTGGCAGCGGCGCCCTCTCCTGTTTTCCACCTGTTTTGCTTTAGAGCCGACAGACTTCTGTCTGCTAGTCTGCTAGTGAAGTTCCTAGAAGGGGCTGAGAACTCTTCCCAAGGAAGACCTCTTCTCCTGACAATGATTTAGGCCTCATCTGAAGCCGGTTTCTCCGGAACTGACAATGGAGAGCATCTATGTGTTGATCGTTTCTGATGCTGAGTTGGAGGAGGCGAGCCGGCGACAGGGAGTAGCTAGATGGACGAGCGTGACCACAGGCAGGACCAGTGGCACCTTTAGCTGGATAGTCACCGCGGTTTCGGGTAGAGTCGGGTAGAGTTCATGTGACAGACTTCATGGAGGGGAATCCTCCAAATCTTCACATCTCTTGTGCTTGGCCCACCTCAGCGGGTGGGGGATCTGGAGCTCAGTGCTCACAGCAGATCATCCACGAGTAAATGGTGACTTGTCTGAGCCTCCGTCACAGCGACATTCGAGCTCACAAGATTCCTGGGCCAGAAACACATGCCCTCAGCAAATGCGCGCGCCTCATGCTCAAGCCAGACTGCAAGTGCGGCGAACTTGGTGTTCGCTTCAACCAGCCCCGACTTACTGAGCACATCAACAAGCACCACCCTGACATTAGTCGCGCTAATCTCAATCGGAGAAGACAGAATACTCATTGCCATCTCAGAACAGTCTACCTCTTTTCGGTACTTGACCAGCATTGTTTTCTCGCCCGCCACGTGCAAGGGATGTGAAACAGGACAAATAGTTGAGCACTACCAATGGTCGTTCGGGAAGCTGCGGTGGCTTTCCCGGGAGCGGCTCATGAGAGAATGGCCCAGGACTCAGAGCAAAGTTTGCTGCTTCGGTGTCAGTGATGCGGTGCTGTGGATTCTGATAGCGGCACCCGGGGATAGGCAAGAGGTAAAGCCTTGCTATCTCAGGCAGACAGGAGGTTGCGCCATTTGTGCTGCGCATCCAGAGCTGCCACTGATTGCCGTGGGCACAGGCAGGGGTGTTTGGGTGGTTTCACCACACAAGCACCACGAAGCTGACATTCATCGAGGAGGCGATCCCGCCTTCCTTGTCTTCTTCGAAGATTCGCTTCGGCGCAAGCAGCGTTTCGAGCAGCGCTGCGATGCCCTGGCATCTTGGCCGTTTCAGCACAGCACGGGGTGCGAATACTGGCAAGGCGGCAAGTAATCGTCCTTGAGAACCGAAGGCTTGGCACAAGAAGAACCCTGTTCTCGCAGTGCTAAGCATCAACGCGGCGATGGCGAAAATACATATTTTCAGCGCCACAGACGGGCCTCTTGCCTAAGTCTGGTCTGGTCGCAAGACTGGTCTCAAAGACTTTGTGGCTTTGAGGCTAGCGCACTTTCGCCTCCATGTGTTGGGCATGCATCCAGCCACCGCCCTGTGCTGGGCGCGATCGCACCTTCTGGTTGCTGGCCCGGAGCTGTGCCGGTGCCTTTGTTTCGAGAAAAGCACCATGATCATGAGTCAGCCTCCCAGGGGCACAGCAGACTGCTGAGGTGTGTGGCCGTGCAAGGTCGAAGACCACTTTTCGGCAACTGCTCCCTCGGCGCGGCATCCAATGGACGAGCTGACCGAACTAGAATTGGCATCTTGGCTTCCCTTGGCGATGGCTTCATCTGTCTTCTTGTTGGTCTTCGTCCTCTTCTACAAGTAGGAGTTTGCTGTTGCGTTCGCTGCTGCGAGTCGTGATAGCAAGCGAGGACCCCTCCGAGCGATTCCTGGCCACGGTCCACCGGACCGGCCTCGTCAGGCGTCCTTGGGTCCTTGGGTCCTCGGGGCTTGGGATTTTGGAGGGCGTTAACTCCCCGGTGCAAGCAGGACCTGGTGGGCGTCAGAGCTGCCAAAGGCAAAAGGGGCTTTGCTGTGCTGAGCCTCTGGCCGCGACTCGCTTGTGAGGCCAGTGCCTTCCGACGCCGTGCCGTCACAGAGACGCTGCTGGGCTGTTGCGGGGAGGCAGAGAGCCTCCAGCTGGACAGATCTGGACAGTCTCATAGCCGTTGAAAGGGCTGGGATACACAAAAGCCCCTTGACCTGCACATCGGGCCAGGTGTTGCAGGGGCATTGCCAAGCTGCAAGCTGGGCACCTGCTGCGCGCCTTGTCGGATAAGCTGCCGTGGCAGCCCAGATGTGCACAAAAGCCCCAAGCCCACCTCTGGACTTTGAGGCGCGGGCCCGCAATTCTCGCAACTCTCGGTTTGCAGCGGGACATCACAGCGGCTCGACGTGCAAACCACAAGATTGAATATTGTCACAGGCCTTCTGTTATCTCTTGCTTGCGCAAAATACGCAAGCAAGGTCTGTCTCCACAGCTGCCTAGACTCTGAGCCACACTTCACAGCCAGGTCTGGCGAGAGTCTGCCTTCGAAGAAATTCCTGGTTTCGTAGCAGAGGCGGGCACCGCAGAAGGGCTCCACGTCCTTCTGTGCTAGCGGCTAGCGAGGCCCGCTGGTCCGCTTCGGACCTCCAAGCTTCTGCGATGGTCTGGGTCGGCAAAGACACCGAACAATTAGAGGAGAGACTTCTTGGGATGTCCGCAAGCATTGACTTTGGAGCCCTCAGGATGCGCGAGACTGGTGGGGCGAGCAGTCGGAATCACTACCACTGCGCCCCACTCGTCATCCAGCTCATGTGCGGCCTGAAGGGCCGCACAAAGCCGAGCTGGTCGGACCCGGCAAGTGAAGTCATTGCAAGTTGGTCAAGTTGCCTTGAGAGCCCTGTAGGTGGTCGCGGGCGAGACCACGTGGTGCATCGAGCTCGAAAGCTCACCAGGAGGGCAGGGCCCTCTCTTTTCTATCTGTCGCAAGGCGCGGCGTGTGCTCTGTGCTTTCGGACTCGACGTGTCCTCGCTGCGCAGTTGCCCGAGCTCCCTGGGTTTGACCAGAGTGCGGGCTATGGACCCAGCGGAGGTTTCGGCCTTCTTCCGATGTGACGAAAACGGCGATACTCTGATCCGGAGAGGACTTTTTTGGGTGAAGAAGTTGGGAAACGCTTCCTTCAATGCCTGGCTCTGCTCTCCAAGCTCGGACCCCAAAGGCGCCAAAGTGATGCATGTACTTAGAAGCTGGCGTTTTGAGGTGGAGATCTACGGCGGATCTGCCTTGATCAGAATTCAACGTCCGTGGACGCGGTTGCAGGCCACATCCCATGTGGCGAAGGACTTGTCGGCGGCCTCACACTGCCGTGACCAGGCAGTGCGCTTCCATGCTGCTGTTTGCCAGATACCAAGCGGCTTGAGGACTGCTGCCACGTCTGCAACATCTTTCTGCGCAGCACCCCGACAAGCTGCTTTATGCAGGAGTTGCCTCGTTTCGAGGTAGCGGATATGGCGCTGCACGAATACTGGGGCTTGCTTGCTCTGCTCTTGAGCGGCGGAAGAACGATCGTCTGGGTGGCGAATATTCCCGAGCTGCTGGGCCGGAGTGTGTTCATTCTACCACGAGAACTGTAGCCCACTGTGACTTGACACTTCCGAGGCCCCGTGGGCGCTTTGACTCGGGACGCTATCGCCTGCCTGAAGGTCGATGCAACAGCGGATGGCGTGCTACGCGGCTACGAACAGTAGAATCGCAGAGATGCTGATTCTGCAGGTGACATTTTAAGCGATGAAGCGCTGAGCACAGCAGACTGCCCGGAACTGAGAGCGAACGCCACGCTGTGCAGACTTTGGCGGTTTGCCTGAACACACCTCCTATGAGGCCCCAGTTTCACCAGTTTGGTTTGGATACCTGGACATCGACTGCCTCCCCGGCTCCTGGGCTTCGGGAGAGGCGACACGCTCATGGCTACGTCCCTGGACATCTCTGGCACGTTGCAGCCATGGAGCGAGGCACTCTGCGGCACCCTCGGAGCACCTCTTGTCGTGTGTGGATGTCCTGGCAGGTGCTGTGGAAGTCAGACGCTCACCTGCCGGTTCGGGACGTTCAGCAGATGCAAGCTAGCAAGGTCGAATGGCCCACGCAAACTCAAGAGACAAATAGAAATCATTGCAGGCGGCGGGCGTACTCTCTATGCTGGTGCACGATGATGACCTCTTCTTCGTCCTGGCACGTGTGGAGGCAGAAGGGTGTTGTCACATGTCCCAGTGCTGGAGATGATACTTCGTGAACCACGGGTGATGTCTCGACATGTATGGCCGAGCATGGACACCATCACGACATGCAGTCCAGTCGAGGTTGAGCAATGAACTGGCTGAACAGGTGTCAAGCAGCAGTTCAGATGCGCCAATTCTCGAACCAATCTGTCGTCACAGGCGGCTGCAATGTCGCTCATGCAAGTTAATCTTCTATCCTACTGTTCATGTAAGTCCGCATGGTGCGCGGAGGCTGTGGGCATCCTGTCCGCAGTTGGGAGCTTTTGCATTGGAGTGGAGCAGTCCTCAGCTGGCGGACAAGGTTCACAGGCAGCCTTCCAACATGGCATTGAGAGTGCTAGCACATTGGAATGGTGTCGCTGAGCTTCAGTGTTCTGTGCCCCTAGCAGCATGTAGTCCGACAGCATGCTTGCCACCGTGCGCAGCCAGGGTTCAGGGCCCAATGTTTCATGTTTCTGCTGGGCAAAAAGCCGACTGACTCTCGTCAAGCCTTTGAACGTACATGCAGGGGCTTTCGGACCGCAGAGACATCCAACCGACCCCTGACGTCCAGTAACCGCCAGCCTGCAAGGGCCGCGAAGTTGAGGTCTTGAGTCTCTGTGCTGCCGTTTTCTCCATGCTTTGAGTGTTGATGCTGCATCTCCCGAGGCTCGGATCTTTCGCCGCCATGCAAGAGGGCGTGTCTTGACAGCCAGCGGGGCTGCGGGTCATGCGACACCAGGAAGTGAAGACAAGTCGTAGCAGTTGATCATGTTTCTTCTGGGTTAATACCAAGGATGTCTCTGGTCAGTTTGCCTTCTGGGCACCTGATTCAGACGAAGTGGTGATTCGGACCCTGGAGATTGAGGCCATAGTGTCTGAGTCAAGACGTGCAGCTCAACGAAGCGGCCTCTCTGTCAGGATCCGACTACAGGTGCTGTTCGCCCCTCAGTTGCTGCAACTTGACCTTGATCTCGGACCTCCACTCTTGAGTGGTGTCTTGGCAACATCGACGAGAGCAGACTAGCAGACAGCACCGGATTCACACCACGGCAATCCAGAAACCCGATAGACTCCCAAGCACCAGGAGGATTGTTGATGATTGTTGGATCGTAGGCAAGGTTGGGCTTGGAGCCATGAGGGGGTGCTTCGAAGCAAGGTTTGGAAGAAGCGTTCGAGGTCGCTCACCAATCCCGGATACACTAGTTGTTTCAGCAATGCCGGGGATGCCTCATACCAGATCGAATGGGTATTGAGGGGCTAATCTCCAATGGTTTCCCGAAACCGGTTGATGTGTGACAATCGGGATCAAAGGCTTCACCGCGAGATGCCTGGCAACAAAATTCAACCTGGACCGTCCTCTCAACACCCGCGAGATCCCGAAGACCCAGGAAGCACGTCATGATAACAATCATAACAACAATAACGGCAACAATAGTAGAAATGACGATAATAAAAACATGAACAACAATAGTAATAATATCAGAGCAATATTAATGTCATAGTGGCCATATAATATAGCAATAAAAACAATAATATAACGGTAACAATAATGGTAGTAGTAGACAGAAGGATAACAACAATAACACCAATAGTAGCAATAATAATGCCAATATTAATAAAAGTAGTGATAACAATACTAGTGCTTGTAACTACTAATAATGGTAGCAATAGCAATAATAACTAGTCATGAAGTTACGATAAATATTAATAGCAGTAACAACAGAAATACTAAAAATAACAGAAGTACTAGCAACAACGGAATGGTGGTAATGACGATAATAATTGTAACAACAATAATAGCAAGATGTAAAAACAATAATCATAATAGTACCAGGAACAATGACAAAAGCAACAATAACAATAAGCAGCATTATTGTTATTGTTACTATTACTGTTTTTAATGCGATGATTAGTGTTATTATTCGTATCAGTATTATGATGACATTTCTTCTTCTTCTTCTTATAGCTTGCGTGTTCCACACCTTCTTCTTATAGCTTGCGTGTTCCACACGTCCACCGAGAAGGTCCGCGTCGGCGAGACGCTTCAGGCACCGCTGAGCTCCAGTCAGAGTCTTCAAGGTCGGTGCCCTGGGAGTTTCCTTTTGTCTATTATTTTTGTTACTTTCCTTATACATCTTGTATTATGCCTGTTATTATCAGTACCATTGCTATTGCTGTGGTTATTACAATTCTTGTTTCTTCTATCTCTGTATGAATTGCACTCAGAGCTTTCTGCGCCTGCGATAGCTCGAGCATCAAGGGGATTTTTTTGCTACCCGTGGCCCTGAGCTCTCGGGTCCATGATCATTGCGAGCCTCCAGGACCAGGCAGGGTATATAGCCCTAACAGCCACAGCCTCGGGGAAATATGGGCAAGGAATCGAAGGCCCTTTTCCCGTCCTTTGATCCTGGCCCAGTTAGAGCTGCTTCCTAGTCTTCTCTGTGGCAAAGCCGAGGGGGAGTTCTGCGTCTCAAGCTTTGCGACGAATTCCTGGTCGCACTGACTACTCGTGCAGAGGCAGCCTTTTCACAGAACTTGACAGAGCTGAAGACAGAGCTCCTGTCAGATTCTCGTGTGGTCCCTCGCTGGTGGCGATCTGGGACATGCCCTGCCTGCCTTGCATGTTGGGGACTGGCGCTGTTGATGCATTTGCATTCGCTCTAAGGTCTAAAGTTCTAAAGAACCTGAAAGCATTTAGGCCCACATCGGGGACCTGAGACCTTCGAAGCATGATTTCTGTCCGTCGCCGGGGTAGAAAGGACTACGACTTGGACAGAGATTGCCGTTTTGGAGCAACTGGTGTCCAAACGACAGGCTCAGTTACAGCCACACTCTGGCAACGCATCAGCTCAAACGAGAAGGTCGGCCACCCGAAACCCCAAACCCTTCTCTCTCCAGTCGCACTCCCAAAAACTGGATTTGTCCATGCAGCCAGCTCCTGAAGAGGCCCGGGTGCCGGAGACGGCACTGTGCCCTTTCGACCGTGGAATCGTGATGGACCCGTGAACACAAGTGGCTGGAGCCTTGTGAAGGCACAAGAAAGCGTGCTCGATTCCAGGGCCAAGTCCTTGCTGGAAAATCTGAGGCAGAAGCGTGGCAATCAGCGAAGCCTGCACCCTGGTGCTGGTCTGGTCGAGTAGATTTCCAGGTCCAAGCTCTGACCTGAGGATGCATCCGGCTATTTCACGCAGGGCGATCTCTCCCTCCATCGCTGCGCAGGAGCAGGGATGTTCATGCATGCAAATTTATGGATTTTCCAGTGATATCTGCACATCCCCTCAGGCGGTGGCTTGCTTCTTGCGGCAGCGGCGTCTGCAAGCGATTCAATTGCACCCGCAACAGCGCTGCTCTGCTCGGTGACACAGTGGAACAGCGACAGCTGTGAAGAGCATAAACAGCATGCTTGCTTTAAGGCCAGAGAGGCAACACTGGCGACATTTGGCACGCTGTGGACTTGCATCCGGAGGTGCTCGGCTGATACTCTTGCGCAATATGCGTCTCCGTGGAGAGCTACAGGTCAAGCTACTAACACCTACTTGTAGTTCTGAGGAAGCTCAGTCCACATTCACACGCTCGCGCTCTTGGAAGTGTCATCTCGTATGTGAGTTTTTACAGAGCTTTGGCGATGTGACAGCAACATATGCATATGCACGCGGAAAGCGATATGGAGATGCAGGGCATGTAGAACACGACACTGAAACCACAACGCAACCTTGGAGTAGCGCGAAGTACTGACCGGTACCAATGCTTAGCGGGGCGGGGGGGATTCCTCGGAATGCAGCGATGTAGAACTGTCCATTGTAGCATGGATAACATGCGAGCCAGCTCGAAGCAGGTCGCAGCTAACCCGGAACAGGGTGGCTGCCGTCTTCAGGTTTGGTTTCTGAAATTTTGTTTGGTTTGAGCAGATTCGCGTCGGCCGACTGGAAATACCAAGCTGCGGTTTAGGGCTTCCTCTAGGCCGTGGTACCGTAGTGAATGCCTTGCCAAGAGAAATCTTCTTTCGAAGAAGCATTGTTCAGTTTCATTGCCTGCCTTCGGCATCTGTTGCTCCCTGCACTGCGGCCTGCTTGGCGGTCTGCATCTCTGCATGCTGGCAGGCTCTTCCCCTGGAGCAGGGATCGCTTCTAGCCATCTGCATCGAGGGTGCGCTTCTCCACGTGCCTCGGCAGATCAGCAGGGGGCCTTCTGGCTGAGAGCCGAGTTTGTAGCGCCAGGCCGGCTTCTGCGGGGGTCCTGGGGAAGGCGGACCTCGCAGGCACTTCCGGACTTCCGAGGGCCGGGGGACCAGGCCAAGGGACTCAAACCCCGACTTCGCTTCTTCAGGCCTGCCGTGGTGGCTGCCTCACTCCCTTCAGCAGCTCAAGGAGCTTCTGCTCCCTCCCTGAGCTTTTTACTGATACGCGAAGGGCTTTCAGGGCTCAGGATGCCAGGCGCTGGGCAAAAAAACGGGATTGTGCTTCCGTTGTTTCTTGGGTCCGTGGGTGTTCTGCAGGGTTTGCAAGGTTGGAGCTTGACAGTGAGCAAACGCAAGGACGCCTGCAAGCTGCTGCACCGTGCCCTGTGCTGCCCTGAGCACTTGCAAGCCATAGAAGGCATGACATGGAAAGAGACGGGAAGAACCACTTTGGCGAGAGCTGTGACACAGTGACGAAGATGGCTTAGGCCTACCATCCTGATACCCTCATCTGGCTTCTCAGAAACGGACAGGCGGTCTGCCAGGTCGGCGTAGAGGCTCTGCATCTGCAAGCGCAATCCGGAAGGCTGCCCTCGCGAGACGAATCCTTCAGCAACTTTTGCACGTGCGCCAGGGCCAGGTTGGGCAGCAGTCTACAAGCTGCATAGATCTGCATAGCATGGATTTTGACTTGAGCTGATGCAACCTACTGCGGGGCAATGTTTGGCTCTCAGTGGTAGTAGTCAGGTCATTCATGTGGACTGAGGCACGACATGTTCACGTGCGGAAGCTTTCGACGCATTGAAACACTGGTTGCACAGCTGGCCTCTGTACCTGCAGGTCCGCATGTGGCTTCTTCTTTTCCTGGCAGTTGCAGTCGGTTCTCACGGCTCTCATGCAGGCATGGTGATGCAATGCACCAGCACTTCGATCGAATGCAACCGGAGGCACTGCCTCTGAGTTCGTCCGGAAGCAGGCTCCTCGTCGAGGCCTGTGGAAGCAAAAAGTGATGGTGTGGTCTCTTTCCAGCATGACGGACCCAAGCTTGAAGCAGCACAGTTCCGCTGCAGTGCCTGACGTTCGACTCAACCGACAAGAGGAGATACTCTCGCCTTCAGAAACCTGTAAGCACGAAACCCTGCTTTTGCAGGTTTGGTGAGTGTGGCCGTCTCTCCTCAAGGCTCCTTGGCAAGAAGGCAAAAGCGCTTTGGCCCATGTCGAACCTGGGTATGCGTACCACTTTGTTACTTCACCAGAAGTGTGCAGACCTGACTAAACGAGCGAAGGAGTCCTGCAACTGGACGATGACAGTGGGACAGGCGCAGATCCTCTATACAGAGCAGATGGAATTTGCTTCGCTGCGTTGGATCTTGAGAGATTTTGTTTGCCAACACCGTACATGAGTTACGTCTTATGTATGTGTGCATCTAAAACGCAAGTGTGCCACCGACAGATGCTATTTAAATCGTATTTAGATGCAGCTGCTGATCCGCTGACTGCAGGTAGGCACAGCGAAGATGTTGTCACCTGTCTGCCTGCGGTGCTATTTGCAGCTGGGTTCGCGATGGCGTGGCCCTTCTCTGCTTTCAGTCCTAAGGTGACCGACCCAACCTTTGCACAGAGCGCCGGCAAGTGGAAGGCCGATTCGGTTTCTGCCCGTCTTGGCCCAATGGCCAAGGCCCTGCCTTCTGCTGTGGTGCCCGCAGGTGCACTACGACGGATGGTCAAGAAATCACAAGTGTCTCAGCGAATTCCGGAGTAAGGTGAAGGACAGGTGCGGTTCATGCCGGTCAGGTTCGAAGACGTGGAAATCTTCTGCGACGGCACGTACAAGCGCCCTGGCCGTTGTGGAGTTTGTACTCTCTCAGCTGCGTCTTACCGCCTGCGGCATGCTACACACTTGACTTCAGGCAACTTACAGTGCAGCACGTTCCGCAACAGCATGCTGTCGAGGCTTTGGAATGGTCACACGACAAAGCTTTCGACGTCCGAGGATGACAAGAAAGTCTGTGCCATCAGTTGCCACAGCCCCAGCCTGTTTTGCATCAAGCGGTGGATTGTATGAGGCTCTATGCAATCGTGGGACAATGAAAAACAAGATCCAGTGGGTCAACAAGGACTGGGCTGGGAATCTTGGCTGAAGGGGAAGCCGTTTCTGCGATTCCAGCACACATATGCACGAACAGAAAGCAGAGGGTGCCACACTCGTCGCGCTTTCTCTGTTCATGGACTGGAGTTCGAGAATACCGACCTTGGGCCAATCGTTTCAAAGGGGCCTCTGCTACCGAAGATCGTTTGTGGGCCCTTGCGTAGACCGAGACGCACGTGTCCAAGTCTTGCCTGGTTTCTGGGCACGCCTGCTGCCTGCTTTTGCAACCAGTCAGGTCTGTTTTCATTAAACTGTCAGGACTTGTCAGGACACTTGCCCAGCTCAAGCGAAGATTGCTGCTTTCTAGTTCCGGCACGGCCTTTTGATAGAGATTTTTGTTCATCCAAGGGACAATCGCAAATGGGAATGTGGGTGGTGGCCAGCCTAGCTTGGAAGTTTAGCCGAGCACAGTCGTTGGGTCGCAGCGGCATGCCGGACACTGTCCAGTGTTTGCTTTTAGAATCGGCAGCTGCGGAGGTACGATTCGAAAGCGGACAAGATTCATGTCTACCATTACATAAAAGGTCACCCAGCAGCAACATAAGCATTACCACCTCGGACCGCCAGGTGCAACTGTGCGCCTGTTCAGGGGCCGCGCATAGAAGCTGCACAAACTTGGAACCGGACATCTCCAGCAGTGAGAAGCTACAGTTTCAGGTCATCGAAGCACCAAAGACGGCCACACAGCGGGAGATGACTATTGGGGATGCTCAGCTGATATCCGTACTGTGCTTGTCGATGCAGGAGCTATAGTTAGTCCACATGTTCAGAAGCCATACCAACTCCAAGACTGACTATGCCATGCTTGTAGTGAGTGAAGTTGAGTCAAGCACAATTCCGACGACAAGTCGACAACCGAAAAGTCATGGCCGTCAGCAGCGCTCCGAAGCAGCGAAACCAACGAGCAAAAGCCACCTTGGCACCGGCCTTGGCACCTTGGAGTTGACGTCACCACCATTGCTACCGTAGTCATCACATTGCACTTCATCCAAGTTGTCGTGGGAAATTACAATGACAAGCAACAGCAGCATGAATGCAAGAGTAATAGCAGTGTCCATAGTACCAGAAGCGACAGACATAAGAGGCAGCCGCTCGTCGTCGTCGCTCCTACGGCCAAGACTAAGAAGTATCGGAATCAGAGTCACAGTCTTTATCAAAGCAGTGCTGGGAGCAGCAGCGAACACTATAAACGTCGCAAAAGATAGAGCAAGACAGTCGAGCCAACATCTGCACACGATCTTTCACAGAGGTAAGATTGATCGATCGAAGCGCGAAGCAGAAGTGCATCTTGGAATGGATTATTGCTGACGGCGGACTGGCAGAAGTCGATATCGTCTAAGACATGCAGAGAGAGTTCTGCCTTCTGGAGGAATTGTCCGACCACAGCTCCTCCGGAAGGGAAGTCTGGGACATCAGCACGTTGGACCGCTGGCGCGACTGTCCCTTTTTTGCAAGTGATGTCGTGACCTGACAGTATGGTATGCCATGAAAGTTTGCAGCTGAATTTGCGCGTCAACATACATCAACCTTCGATTTTCTCCTTTGTCGATGCTCTCTAGTCCTGCCAAAGATTGTTGAATGGTACATGATAGACCAGCAAGTCCGACGTGGACGTTCAGGTTGCTACTAGAGCAGCGCCCGACGGGGCCCCAAGAAATGGCACAACCTCTGCCGCAGGTCTGAGAGATAGACACCGGTCCAAGGCCTAGAGAAGAAGTTCCCCAGGCTCAAGGGCAAATGAACACTGTGACAAAAGCTTTTTACAGTAGTAACAACAATGTCAAGATGAGTAACAAACATACAAGAAGGCTCATGGTCGGTGCGGGCATCTTTCAACCCGACCTGGGCCGACCCGTCTGAGGCTCTTTCGGCGTTTCTCGTGAGCATCTGACCGTCTCTGACCACCTGCACGTTTCACTGATGCCGAAGATGTATCCAGAGAGATGTGATGCCCTGCCTGCGAGAAACAGCTCCCTGCCATCTGCGAGCGAATCGATCCTTGCTGCAACCACCTTGTTGAGGTACTCCGTCAAAATGCCAGTCCACATGGGATTCCGCCCCTTGTAGTGCCTTGTTTAGCTTTATGGAGCATGGTTGTCATACTGTTGTCATGCTCTGTTTATCATGCAGCGGGCAAAATCGAAGTGTTGCAAGGACCTGGACTTCATGGAGTTCCATTGCGCAGATGCAGTGGCGAATTGGTCGCACTTAGTGCAATGCAAGCAGACCTAGTTGAAGGCGATGCTGCCCAGCAGTGGTGCGCGAAGGTATTCACATGTCGTTCTTGCTTTGCTTGAGGCAAGATGTGAACGCGTGTCGAGCTCTGCACCTGCTTCTTCAAGCCAGCTGCATGCAGGCAGCTGTATTGTCGTGGTGTGAAGCAACTCTTGAGGCACCGTTAAGGTCTATACAGGGATCAGAGCTCCGTGAGGGTGCAGCTAGAGCTCTCGTTAGCCACGCGGAGCTTGGCGAGTTTCAGCCGACAGCCCGTCGTACAGTAGCCGCCTATAACCCCAAAATATTAGGATTCATGTAAAGAACCCCAATAAAGACCCACGGTTTCTTAATCCGGTTCCTACATTACATACCTTCTTTTGTCAATGTGCAGCTGCGCAGATGGCCTCGACGTTGGCAGTGGTGCAACTGCTGCCTCTTTGTTTGAAGATGATTTTGAGGCCCGTAAGTCAAAGACCTGAGAGACATGATTTGGAACATTCTCAGCATGGAAGGCGCGCATGGCCAAGCTTCGTTCAAGCTGGGCAGAGGCAAGGCCCCGGACGTCGCAGTCTTGGCATCCACGTGGAGTATGGTCGCGGTAGCGCCTGCAGGATGACCCGTCTCTTTCCATTCCCGCACAGGCTTGCTTTTGAAGGCCAAGGCTTTCTCAGATGCCTTCGTACCGGCAAGCTGTGCTCAGGAGAACGGTGAGACGACATCAGCGGGATGGCAGGGCTTGCTGACAGATGACACTTGTGAATTCATCTCCCTGGCAGAAAGCAGCTGTCTTGACTTCTGGGTATGTGGGAGGCATGTATCGGAAATGGAACTGGACGAGCTGGGTCGTTTCTTGCAGACGCGAGCCTTGCTCTGTGAGATATCGAGCAGGGGCAGCAATCTTCTGTCTTTCCGTCGCTGGAGCTGTGCAGCCGAGGAACACTGCCGATGGTTTCTTCACACGAGCAGGCGAGCTGCTGTGAATGCTGTGAGGTCAGGTCTGGAAGCATGTCAAGGCAATATTGGAGAAACGTTGCAGCAAAACGGCTGTGCTTAGAAGATGCTGTCAATCCTCCGGTACACGCATGGGCAAACGGGTACAAAGGCTGATTAAAAGTGTTTGTCTGGACAAATATGAGATATCTCAGCATGTGTTGTCCTAGCCTTCTTCACAGCAAAGGCATGTACTAGCGCAGAGAAGGGAGCAGGGCCACTTGGCCAAGCAAACAAGTGGATTGCATTCCTCGTTTGCCTTCCATGGTCTCTGGCGGCATCACTGGCCTGGCGGGCCGTGAGACACCTGGAAGAGGCATGGACATTTCATAGAAGTTTTGCAGCTTCGATTTGAACAGCCCTCTTGGACTCTTTTGAGGAGACGGCCCTGCTAAAGCTGATGATGCCACAAGGCAGGGGTTTTGCACGTTTTGGGGCAGAGGCCTCTGCTCAAAGCCAGGTGGCCGGTTCTTGCTATACTGGCTGCGGGCACACTGGTGACAGCGGTGCGGCACTTAAGTCGTCATGTCATCAGCTTTTTTGGAGACACTGCGACGCCGAGTCACGCGATGCGAGTCATGATGGGGACGAGCTTGGTTCCACAGCAGATGTACATGTACATGTGAAGAGATGCATACAGACACACACACACACACACACGCATACATATATATATATATAGGTGCATAGATACATTCATACACGTACAAAAGTACATACCTAGACATTCACATACACATACACATACACGTACACAGACACAGACACATACACACACATACACAGATACATACATTCATACCTGCATACATACGTACATTCAGACGCATGCGTACTGAAGTACATCCGTACATACGTATATACGTACATGCATGTATGTATGTATCTATCTATCTGCCTATCTAACTATCTATCGATCTATCTATCTCTCTCTGTCTATCTATCTACCTATCTATCTATCTATCTACCTATCTATCTATCTATCTATCCTATCTATCTATCTATCTATCTATCTATTTAAGTATCTGTTTAGCTATCTATCTTCCTACCTACCTACCTACCTACCTACCTATCTATCTATCTATCTATCTACCTATCTATCCATCTATCTGTCTATCTATCTATCTATCTATCTATCTATGTATCTATCTATCGAATCTACCTATCTATCTATGTATCTATCTACCTACAGTACCTGCCTGCCTACCTACCTACCTACCTACCTACCTACCTAGCTAGCTAGCTAGCTAGCTAGCTAGCTATCTATCTATTTATCTATCTATCTGCACATGCATGCATGTATGTGGTATATAGGCATAGGCATACGTATAGGTATGGGTATGGGTATGGGTGTAGGCATAGGGTATAGGTATAGGTACAGCTATGGGTATAGACATACATAGAGGTATTCATATAAATTCATGTATGCATACATGCATACGTACATTTGAGTTTCGTGGTTATGCGCGTCGCTTGGCATCCCCCCACCACCAACTGCAAGTCCTCAAGCCTGAAGCCCCTGCGGCCTAAAGCCACAGCCTAACTCTGAACCAACAACACCCAAACCGGAAGCTCAAGCCCCAAGCTGTGGGGGATGATCCGCTTCACGGGTGGGGCGCAAATGGGGGGAGGGGGGTTGGACCCACCAAGCCTCAATATATACATGCATGCATGCATGCATGCTTACAGCGTACATGCATACATGCTTGTATGCATACACATACATCACTTGCACACTTCTCTGTATACTGCAGAAGTGATGCTGCTTCTTCATTGCCCACTGTCCTGCAGCACTGCAGTCTTCCACCAGTTTTCCACCTGCACAGCATGTCACTGAATCAATCTCCAACAGTTTCTTCCTGATGATCATGCCGCGGTGATTCTACTGCCCCCTCCTCCGCACGATCCAAATCCCGCAAATGCAGCTTCAAGCGGTGAAAGTCATTCATCATGTGCCCATTGTCACAGGGATCACTCGAGCACTGCCTTAAGGTGCCCTTAGTCCGCTGGTACATGCGGCGCCGAAAGACTGCTGCCTTTGAATATGGGCCAGTAGAGCTGTCCCAGATGACTCTGGCTGCAGCTAAGGAGATTTGCCTGCCGCGTATATGTATATACATACACACGTAAGAAGTGTATGTGTCCATACAAATATGTCTATATTTTGTATGTATGTAAATGCCTATATCCATATACTTATGTGTATATAGATATATAGCTCTCATATAAAATGCAGCTACGCGAAGATATGTCTCTACATATTTTACATACTTGTATATACTGTCATGCACAAAGACTTTCGCTGGAAGGAGCTGCACCAGAAAGGAGATGTCTCCCTGCAGCAGAAGCGAACCAGCCTTGTCCCTGACGCGCTGTTGGACCTCGAGGCCATTCTTGTGTTGCGTTATATATATATATATATAACTTACATAGTATAGATTTGCTATAGCATTGTAGAGTATAGTGGAGTATAGCATAGTAGTGTAGTAGTCGTACAAGAGTTGGACGGTCATGTATTGCCAGTGCTTGGCAGGAGCAGGCCGAAGAGATGGCCTCCTCGCTTGCGCCTGTTGCAGAGGTTGACGTGCGTGCTAAGGCCTTCCTCGGTAGGTCGTGCAAGCAACACCGGACGGTTGATTCTGATTAGACTTCTGAAAGGCTTTGCAGGCTGTTGGTGCGCCGCCATTCAAACGCCACTTCGGCTGTTAACAGATCTGTGGCCCGCAACTTCGCCTGGGGCGCCAGTGTGTAAGACATGTCAACTTAGGGTTTCTACGAGAAAGACGAGTTCCAGATCTCGTGCGAAGCAAATGCCACACCCTACAGCTGAACATAGGCGCAGCAGCGATGGTCTTGCGTTGGAGTGACCATCTGCTTGTTGTATGGTTGCTCTCTTGCGCCGTCTGCAGTCTTGTGCTGGACTACTGGTGCTCTTGTAACTTCTACGGTACTGCTACACTCTTGTGTTCTGCGGCAACGGTTTTTTCGCCGCAGTCCGCATCATTGTGCCCACCATCGGACTCTGTTGATTGCGCTGCCTGTGTTCCGAAGATTTGGAATGTGGAGGCCTTTACTGCAACCAAGCTTGCAACCACTGCCACGTCGAGTCATCGCCTCTTCGCAAGGAAATGATGTCTAAGGACGGCCTAGGGTCTAGGGTCGAAAGCTCCGGGGCTGTCGAACTCGGACCTCCTCCGACCGCCTCGCAGGAAGTGGTAGAACGTTGCCTGCTCCTACTCAAGAATTCGCCGACCGTGAAGGCCTGTGGCATCTGGGACTTGGGTTGGGACACGGAAACCCACTGCTTCTGCTCAGGTTCTTGACATCACGGGTGGGGCGCCAGAGCTGAACCGAGGCTTCCGGCGCCTGGTCGAGGGAGCAGCGCAGCTCCGGGACGGGGCTGAGCGCTAGCCTTTTGTGGTGACCCATGACTCTGCGTGGGCCCCTTGAGGAGATGGGGGAACGACCAGATTTGCGCATCATTGACCGCTGCAACTTGACGGTCGGGGCTCAACGTGACATCTCTCGCATGCAGTGAGCAATCGTGGGTGGCTTTGGCTCTGAGGTTCTACTGGAGCCTGGCCAAGAGTCCCTTCCAGCCTTTCTAGTGGACACGGGCGTAGACATCATTGCTTCTCTGCCAAGCTACGAGCCGGATCAAACAGACAGGCGCGTCGGGTAGCTGTAGCAGCGTTTCAGCTTCAATTCAAGCGAATGGAGCCCCGGTAGGCGGCATATTAAAAAGTCAGCACGGCTTGAACCGTTCAGACGAACCCAGTTGTGCAAGCAATATCTCGGCTAGGTAAGAGGCACTAGCAGTGCTTGCAAGGAAGTCCATGGAACAGGCTGCAGGAAGTGCATCAGTTGATCCGGAGGCAACGTGGGAGGAAAGTCTTCGAAAGGAGCATTCAGGCGGGCTTTGGGTGATGTGTGCGGGAGACCCATCAGCTGCGTTGGCGCAAACTTGACTGCAGGGCCTTCGGATCTTGAACCAACACGGTTATGGCTCAGGCTCCTGGCCTTCTTTAATTTTCAGTTTCATGTCATTCGGCATGCTTTGCGCCCAAGTTTTCTGTTAGTGAGCAAAGTGCTGTTTACTTGCAGTCCCTGTTGAGATTGCCAGCACACCTCGTCGAGTATCATTTGGAATGAATTTCTCTCTCTCTTTCCCTCTCGCTCGCTCTTCTACACACACACACACACACACACCCACAAATATGTGGTGCAGGTCCACTGCCCGTTGTATGTGTGCATTTATCATGGGGTTTACAATGTACGTCCTGTCCCGTCTGAGGTATGCTGCTGCTGCTGCTGCTGCCGTGACGTACCAGGATAATCGTCCATGTCTGCGATAATCAATAAGGGCAGCTGCCTTCTTCTTCGTCACTGTACAAAGATTGGGTCAAATGGTGATAACGTTTGGATCAAAAAATAGTTAAACCAGCAGAAGCGGGAAGGAGGAAGAAAGCAAGGAGGGAGAAAGGAAAGCAGGAAGGAAGCGAACAGAGGACAAAAAGGAAGGAATTTTCAGCTGCGCACGCCTGCTTTCAAGAGCACCATCACTTGAAAAACAGAGCCCGTTTCAAAACCCATCATTCAAGCCTTGTGTTTGCAAATCGGGGGGCTTCGCCTTCAACCCCCTCCGGCTTTAGTAAGCCATGCCGTGTAACCTTTCTTCAAGAACATCGCGCCGTCAAGAAGAGTTGCGTCAAGCACAGAGCTCTGAAGCTGATCATAAGCATATCGGCATTATTTCTGGAATTGTAGTGGAACTTTAGCCGTGCCAGATTGTTTTCAGGAGCATCCTGCCATCAAGAGTAGAACCTATCTGAATCCACTGCATTTTCAGCCGTGCAAGCCTGCTTTCGGGGGGCTTAAGCCGTTCCGTGCAAGTTTGGTTTCATGAACATCGCGCCATCAAAAAGAATTGCATCAAACACAGAAGTCTTATCCCGAATAGCTTGAGGCAAGACAGAGCTCGACAAACTGGAGTTTCCCAAGGCTACTCTTGTGACTGCTACTGCTACTGCTACTGCTACTGCTGCTACCACTACTACTACTACTACTACTACTACTACTACTACTGCTACTACTACTACTACTACTACATTTGTTTTTGATCCTTGCGGCTTACTGTTGATCTACATTGAAGCTTCTTGATCCGTCACCCGCACTCGGTACTGTACACACGATGTCATCCAAAGTGAGAGGGGTTGTGACTTCGATCATAATTTGCTGGTTCCATTGTGTTGTAATTTTCCATCTTAGTCTCGGTCTTCTATTTTCTTGTTACTTGGACCCTCAGGCTGACAATCTTGCCAATGCCGTTCCTGCCAGCGGCATGAACAGAATAAATGCGGTAACACATGATGCCAGACTGTCGATCGACACATATGCACTACTTGTGCCAGAGCGTGTAGCACGATGATGGTTCGTTTGCACGCTGCTATCGTGTTGGTCTTGCTCGTGCAATGATCTCTCGACACATACGCAGTACATAAACATGGGTGTGTGTAGGTAAATGTATATGAGTATATGTATCTGTATCTGTGTCTGCAGGTGTAGATGTACATGTAGATGCATTTGTACATGCATTGTTATGTGTATGCACTGGCCGTCCGGCTGTCTGCCTGCTTGTCTGTATGCCTGCCTGTCTGCCTGTCTGCATGCATACACTGACACATTTGTGTAGAAGTAGGTGTAGATATGTGCGTACTTTCAGATGCAGGCATTATAGATACCGAGCGATGCTCCCAAGGAAAGGAGGGACGGCGCCTCGATCTGGTGTTCAATCCGCCAGGGCCGTTTCTGCCGCCCAGGCAGCAACAGCCGCTCGGGATGTACCGATGTGCCCGGTGCGTTCGATAGCATGTGGGGTTAGTTTTTCACGGTTTCTTGGCGAGCTACCGGTTGCAAGGCGTAAGACCTCAGATTTCCAGCGTACGGGTTTAGACAGCACAGGAAGGTCCTGCTTGCGGATCTCCATTCTAGAAGGCCTCCTATGAGCGACTGTCCCTGAACTTTGGTTTAAAGCAACCTGAATATATTCAGAACTACAGGCTCAGGCAGAGACCAAGAAGCAAAACATTCCTTTGCCCCCAACTCATAGCTCGAAACCAGAAAGATACTGCAGGCATGCGAAGTTTGCCCACCGAGGTTAGAGATGAAATACAAGACAGAGCTGGAGACTTCCTACGGCGTCAAGTTTGACGGCTTGCCGGCCGTGTTGAGTTTGGTTTGGCTTGAAGTCTAATGGGTCCTGCCGTGCATACCGAAAATGAGAGACGGGGATTCTCGTGAAGTTAACCCTAAACCCTAGACCCTAAGCCTCCTGAATGCGTCCAAGGCCTGCTGACCATTGCCAACATGCCCATCAAGCGGTACTTCGACTATCTTCGGAAAAAAGGTCCGGCTGGAAATTGTTGCAGACAGAGTCGCGTGATGTCAGCCTACAGAAGCTCTGCTTTCTGGCAGGTGCGCTGGAGGGCTACATGGACACTCGGCTCTTTTCGAAATCCGGAAAAAGGGCAGTGATGAATGCTTCAGTTCACGGCTGGCCTCCAGTCACAGCATCAACATCAGGGACGATGAATACTGTTCCTGAACATGAGAGGAATACACCTGACCAGCAACGGCCCCCAGATGTCTCGTGACAAGAGCCTTCGTCGCCACACTTTGTTAACTTGACAACCTCTCCGCGTGTCGGGTAAGCTAGACTCGATCATTGCGCAGTCTTACCTCCTGAGAAGTAGTTGTCCAGGATTTGCTCGTCCGCAACTTCAATGAAGACACGGTCCCGGATCTCATGTGCACCAACACTGTCAATGTTGGCTGGGATGGGAAATTGCTCCTAAGTTGAATTTGGCGAATGGTGCGCGGCGGCAGCAGTTTGAAGAGATCTGCGACTGGAGGTATGACTGTGACTTCAACCAACAGCTGGAGTTGGGTCTCGGAGGTGGTCTGAGCGTATTCGACGTCGAGAGCCTTGACGACCCCAAGTTGCAGAGAGCCGCCAGGACCTCAGCGACTCGTCCTTTGATTTCATCCACTCTTTGACGTGTCAGAAACTGAGGGTATCCTGACCGCGGCTCACTGCTACGGTTGCACGGCAGCTCAAGGCTCCAGCTGACAGGGCGCGCTGCGCTAGGCCCGCTGGGCCGCTGACACCTCCAGCTGACATCGGAGCCCTTCTTGGCCAGGATCGCATACTCCCGCCAAGCCCAACCCAGGTTAGCCGAGTAGAAGCATAAGAATTTTTGGAGCAGTCTTGGCAATGCACCACTTTGACAGCTCTCATCCCGAAGGGGAGAGCTTCAAGATGTGAGCCATGAGACACAGAAGGGCTCCAACTCAGACCGCCTAATTCGATGGTCGCTTCACCTAATGGAGATCCCATGAACTGTGGGGCTTTTGATCGGCCTCTGTCTGCGCGCATGAAAGCTCGAGATCCATTTCGGGGGCCTTGCGCCAGCTGGCGCAAGCCCTGTCCCGGTCCGAGCTTGACGGACTGCAGATATTCGCTGGTCCCCCTTCTTAGCCCCACTAACGAAGGACCGGCCATGTGCTAGGGAAGGCCTTCGCCTTCCACACCGTCTGAACCGCCACTTGGGCATCAGACCCAATTTTCGACTCCACGACATGGAGACTGGGAAGAAACCGTTCCAATTGCATGTCGCCACGGCTAGCAGCTTTCTCATCCGATACTGCATTCTTGGAAGGTTCGCCACGCCTTCTTGTCAGATGTAAAAACCTGATCAGGCGCAGCTCCTCGTACTGCTGTGGGCGCGACCTGTTTGCCGACCACAGGGCTTCTGCTTCGGAAGTTATTTTTGAGTCCTTCGATGCTGAAGCTTCGCCTTCCCCATTTGGGGGCCACAAGGCTAGCAGATGGCGTGGCCCAAAACCAGAATTGAGCACATTACAGGCAGGATGTGGGAGCAACGCCGCATGCCTCGGACCTGGACGAGTGTGGGCAACGCTTCATGAAGGCGGGGTCGGTATGACATGCCTGGGCACCGAGATTCAAGATCAGTGAGAGCGCAACATGTGCGGCCTTGGGCTTCTCATCATAATACTACCGGCTATTATTACAATTAGTAAATAATGAGCACATGTTAGTACTCTTAGTTTTAGATAATTAGTATTCGTAAATAGGTAAATTAGTATTAGTATTAGCATTGTTATTCTGCTGTTCACAGGCCTTTGAGATTCATGCAGCCGTGCGTCGCCTGGACCTCTGTCTCAGGGCATGGCAGGATGTTTTGCGATGCATGGTGTGCAGCCGAGGATGGCACCTGAGAACGCCCAATTCCGAAGCTTTCTTGCAGCACTTGAGCTCTGAGGAGAAGCGGACTGAACAGCTTGACTTATCTACTATAATATACCATAATATCTATAATATACTATAATATACTATAATATACTATAATATACGATCATATACTATAATATACCATAATATAGCCAAAGACGGAACCTTCCTTCCAGGATCTGTGCTGGGCGCTGCACTCCGACTGCCAGGGCACTCTTGTGGACCGAATCCTGGAGGCTGGAGCGGCCTTCAGCGCGAAGACAATACATACTATAACATACTATAACATACTATAATTTACTACAATATATTATAACATATTATAATATACTATAATATACTATAGTATACTATAATATACTACAACATACTACAATATAACCCCTCTGTGAGTTTTGCTGGGTTTCAAGCGCCAGGTCCTTGGCCATGACTTGGACTGGCCAGCAGGGCTTCCTGGGAGAGTCCAAAGCGGGTCCAAGCCGTTTAGGGTTTAGGGTCTAGGGTTTAGGCTTTAGGGTTCAGGGTTTAGGGTCTAGGGTTTAGGGTTTAGGGTTTAGGGTGTAGGGTTTAGGGTTTCCCTTTGACTCCGCGTTGGCCCCAGGCCTTGCGCCACGTGGGACTCGGGCTCTGGCTGCGAGACCTCCAGGCTCTCAAGAAGGCCGCCACATATTATATAGTATACTATAGTATATTCTAGCATATTATAGTATACTACAGTATACTATACTATATCATATTGTATTATATTGTATGATATTATAAGACCCACCTTATCTTTTTGTCCTTTTGCATCTCTCCACACATTTTTGTCAGGTGCTGGAGCAGCTTCCTCGAGCCCTCCTTCGCCGGCAGAGTGCTCCAGACAAGGCCAGGCGACGGCTCTTAGCCCGACCCTTAAGTAGTAGTAGCAGTAGTAAAAGAAGAAGCAGTAGTAGTAGTAGTAGTAGTAGTAGTAGTAGTCGTAGTCGTGGTGGTGGTGGTGGTGGTGGTGGTGGTGGTGGTAGTAGTATCAAGCCCGAAATCCGAAACCCCAACTCGAAGACATTGCCATCCACGTTTTCACCCCTCCGCCCAGGTACCCTA